TTTTTAAAAATTTAAACTATTTTTATTAAAAATTAATATTTTTATATTTTGAATTATTTTCATTGATGTGTTGATTTTAAAAAATAAAAAAATATATTATTTTAATATATTTTAAAATAAAAAATATTTTAAAAAACAAATATAATTTCACTTTCAAACTAAAACTAGAGTAAATTCTGCTCACACTCTTGCTTGCATGCTAAATTAGAATTCTCTAATTATTGGGCATTGACATGTGTCTTTCTCCCCCGCTCCCATATATTTCAACCATGAAATATTATCAGACAAAGCCTTGAATTTAAGTTCCATGGCAACTGACACCTGACTTTATAATAATCAATACAACACAAAAATTATTAAAATAGCGAAAACAACATATTTTAGATCTATTTTTTTTAATACCAGCCGACTATAACGAGTTAAATCATTTGATAAAATGTAACAATTAAATATAAAATTACTATTATTTTTTTCATATTATATTTTTAACGTATTCAATGTGCAAAAATAGGTTGCCATGCCCCGAAAGGTGTCTAGAAAATATTAGGATTGAAATGTGAATATTGTTTTTTAAAAAATCGAGTTCCGTTGGTAGGAACAGCACAACCCAGTAGATTGCGTCGTTGTTCCTACTAAAAATTTTATTTTTCAAATTCTTTTTTTTTCAGTATATGCTACTTTCCCTAAAATTTTATTTTTCAAGTTATTTGGAGAAAACAACCTATAAATTGTAATATTTATGATTTTTATACTATAATGTATATTTATTTAAATCGGCATTATTTTTAATACCAATTATAATCAATTTTGCACACATTTTCTTTGTCATATTTGATTTAAAATATAAAGCTGGTTTTCTTTATCTTAAAAAATCATAATAAAATTTAATGAATAAAGAAATGCCATGAACCTCCATTTCAACAGAGTCCGTCTCCAAATAAAGCAGACACAAAAAATTAAAAATTATCTTTTACACATACAAGGTCAAGATGTAAAGTAAAGGCAAATCACGTGTCACCCAATTAAATATATCTCCATAGAGAGATCTCTCATAAACTTCATCTCCATTGCCAAGAAAATAAATGCTAGTAAGGTTTTTATTAAAAAAAATATTTTTTAATAAAAAAAATATTTTTTATGCTATTGATTCATTAAAGTCATTAAAAAATAACTAAAAATATTAATTTAATGCTTTTTAGATGAGAAGTAATTTGAAAAATGGAAAATTAAAAATAAAATTAATATTAAAAATATTTTAAAAAAACTTTTAATTTATTGAGTAATTTTATGACTATCAAAGAATAACTAGTACATTATATTAATTACTCTGAACAGCATATTTTAAAGAAATAAAGATCTACAAGGAGATGAGATATTTTTATTATTTTTAATGAGTTGTAAATTTTATATTTTATTTTATTTTTACATGTTTTTTTTTTAAATATATTTCGAAAGGTAATTATTATGATACCAGTTTTATACCCTTTTATCCCATAAGATTTTTCTAATCTAACACTATTAATTTCAAAATAAACTAGTACCTCTTTTTTAAAGTGTCGGCGTGGTAATGGCGGTGCCACCCACAACCCCACCATCACATGGTGATTATCCGCTGCACACTGGCAGCGGTAAGAGTGGGACCTTTCCAATTCTCGTGTAATCAAACACCGTCACGTTTCAACACTTTCCATCTATAGAAACATTTCATGCCATCAATTATTTTTTTCTTTATTCACTAACTGGATCCACAGATATTTTCATTTTTTTTTATTGTTTTCTTCGAAGCCCACCGACGGCCCTTGATGATCCTACTTGCCTTCAGAGCTTGTTTTATGCAGTACACCCGTATCTATCTTAGCTTGGCTGTAATCCCATTTTGTACACCAATATCTTAGCTAGGCTGTGATATTAGGGCCCTCACGGCTGCCCCCACAAAATCAAATGTGATTGCGTGTGCAATTATCAACAAGAGTCGACAATATTATTTTATTGTTTAATAGACATAAATACATTTTTCTTTCCAAATAAATTAAATTCATAACCATCGATAAATAAATATCAATTTTAGTCGAGTTCTTAAACCGATACGAGATAGTATCCTAATTCCAAGTTGAGGAGGTTAATTTATACCTATTCAAGTTAATTTATTTAAAAAAAATATTAAAACAAAGTTATTTTAACAAAAAAAAATATCAACAAATCTTTAATTGGTTTTCTCAAGTTAATCAATTTATTGATTAACTTGAATTTTTTATTAGATTTACATGGATAAATTGATTCCTATATACATATAATTTTAGAGTAATTTATATCCCACGTCAAACTAGGTTTGAATCACTCGTCATATCAATTCAAGTTTTATAATTATAATTATAATAATCAGATAGCAACATTTTATTTACTATCAAAAATTAAAAAAAACTATCATGAATTATTTAAATATAATTTTATAAAAACTTTTCTCAAATCAAATATATAAAAAATATCAATTAATCATAAAAATAACGGCAATATGTTAAAAGTAGTCATTAATGTTGAAAAAAATAGCAATCAAATATAACAAGAACTTAATCTAGTACAAACACTAAATCAAAAAATAATAATTAGGGATTAACTCGAAAAAATTAAAAAAGGATAAACATAACTAATTAAAAGAATAAAAATCAAAATTAGATATAAAAACTAAATAAAATAAAAGGTTAAGGGACAATATTGAAAAAAATCAAGAAAATAATAATCAAATTAATAAAAAAATAATAATCAAATTGAATTAAAATAATAAAAAATCAAGTGATGAGATTTTTGAAAAAATCATTAAAAAGCAAAAAAATCAACACAAACAGCAACTAAAATAATAAAAGCTAAAATTAAAATAAATAGAAATTTATTGAATTTTGAAGTTTAGATGTGAATCTCTAAAGCATGGGAGAGAAAAAAAAAGAAAAAGAAAAAATCTTGTTACCATTATAAACTGAATTGCATATTCCATAGTTTTTAAACCCGGTCCGGTGGTTGACCCGGTCCAAGGTCCGGGTTCGGGGTTTTGACCGGTTCATCGGGTTTTGACCGGGTCGAACGGGTCGGCCGGGTCAATTTCTATTTTAAAAAAATTCAAAACGACGTCGTTTTAATAAAAAATAAATAAAAGTCAACAGGTTACCACCGGGTTTTTGACCGGGTTTTGCCGGGTCGTCCGGGTTTCCGGGTCAACCTGCAGGGTCGTCCGGGTCACGCCGGGTCATAGCTTACCTTATTTTTTCATCAACCCGCCCCGGTTCAAGCCCCGGGTCGGCCGGGTCCCGGGTCAACCCGCCAGGCCGGGCCGAGTTTTAAAACTATGGCATATTCTACTTTATCGGTTGAGCCACCACATGATATTTCAAGAGATATGAAAAAAAAAAAAATGCAAGTGAGGTTCTGGCCTATCGGTGGAAGGGGCTTATCCCCTTTCTCCGCACCTGAGTTCGAACCTTACTATGCATGCTTGTTACCCCGCGGTGCCTTACCTGTTCACTGGGCTTGCAGGATGTTCAGTGGGCTGTAGGGATTAGTCGTGGTGCACGTAAGCCGGCCCGGACACTCCACGTAAATTAAAAAAAAAAAAAAAGATATGAAAAAAAAATATGGTGGTTCATTATCCAGCACAATAATTTTAGTATAATATTTATTATTTGTTAAAAAATTAATTTAGCCCCTCATGCAAAATTAGAATAACAAAAATCCATTAGAGAAAAAAAAGGAAAAAACCCAGACAACATGTTTTGTGTTTTTGTTTTCTTTCAAGGCAAGTATTTTAACTATTTTGAGAAAAGTAAAAAGACAATGAAACCTTTGATCTTTTTTAAAATACAATCGAACCACCTGAGAAGATCATCGTGCCTTTAAGTTTTCTCTTCATTGGCTGTTATTGTGGAGTGAAAAAATATTATTATATTATAGCAATTCATGTTATAACGTATTTACCTTTTTAATAAATAATTATAGAGGTAAATAACTACTCCTATCTCGGAAGAGATTAACATGTAAACAAGCATATATATATATATATATATATATATAATGAAATTTATAATATTAAAATTACTTAACCTCAATAACAAACAATAAAGTAAATCATTGCATTTCAATAATCCAGAGCAATACACCTTTTTCCAGTATTAGATATCTTGATTTTCTTTATCACTGGATACCCTGGTCAACCAAATCAATGCCAATCAAATTTCATTGTTATTTCGTACAAATTTAGAGAGTAGTAATTTGATGTTTGCAGATTCAACTTTATATCATGCTATGGAAAGTAAAGTCATATTTTTTTATATCAAATTAATCAAATTAAGTTCATTTACTTAGCTTGGTTAAAAATACAAATATATGATTGGGTAAAGATTTTTTTTATCACATTAATTTTTTAATAAGTTATGATATGTTTAGCTATGGTATGTTTGTTAATGTTATGATCTGTATTAATAATAATAATAATAATTTTAAAAGGTATAATTTAATTGATTAAAATTTAAATTTATTATTTAAAAATTATTAGTTAGAATATCATTAATTTCAAAATTATTAAAGATTTAATTAATTATTAACTTTAAAATTTTAAAAAATTAATTAAAATATTCGTAAACTAACTCAAACGTTTATAATTAAAAAAAAAAAAAAGTTAGGTGTAAACCTTTTTATATTATTTATTTTAAATTTTTTTAATCCAAATATATATAGTCTTTTTTCAATATATTATAAACAAAAATTCTTTCTATACCAAAAATCATAATTAAAATTCAACTGAAAAATGTTCCGAAAACTGTAAAAACCTAGAATTAACGAAAAACAGTGACCAACACCTTATCAGACCAAACTGTAACTGTAACTAGGAACTGGTCTTCAGCAGTTCCCTAAACAAACTGTAGTTCTGCTTTCCCACATCCACCAAACTCCCTAAACCCCCTATTTTTGCTCATCTTCTCCAACTTTCAATCTCCGCCGTCCATTCCTCCTATTAATCCCCCCCTCTTCCTCTTCTCTACACTCGCTCTACCCTGCCCTCTCTTCTCAGCCGCATCCTTTTCCCTTTTCTAAGAGAGTGAAAGCAAGAAATTTCTTCTTCTCTTTCACTTACAATGGCTTTGCTTGTAGAGAAAACAACAAGCGGTCGTGAGTACAAGGTCAAGGACATGTCTCAGGCTGACTTCGGCCGTCTCGAAATAGAACTGGCCGAAGTTGAAATGCCTGGTTTGATGTCCTGCCGTACTGAATTCGGCCCTTCACAACCATTCAAGGGAGCCAAGATTACTGGTTCCCTTCACATGACTATCCAAACTGCTGTCTTGATTGAAACTTTAACTGCCTTAGGTGCTGAGGTTCGTTGGTGTTCTTGCAATATTTTCTCCACTCAAGACCATGCCGCTGCCGCTATTGCCCGTGATTCGGCTGCTGTTTTTGCATGGAAAGGGGAGACCCTCCAGGAGTACTGGTGGTGTACTGAGAGAGCTCTTGACTGGGGCCCAGATGGTGGTCCTGATTTGATTGTTGATGATGGCGGTGATGCCACTCTCTTGATCCATGAAGGTGTGAAGGCTGAGGAGATTTATGAGAAGACCGGTGCTGTCCCAGATCCAGCTTCGACTGATAACGCTGAGTTCCAGATTGTTTTGACAATTATTAGAGATGGATTGAAGTCTGATCCTAAGAAGTATCACAAGATGAAGGAAAGATTGGTTGGTGTTTCAGAAGAAACTACAACTGGTGTTAAGAGATTGTATCAAATGCAGATTAATGGGACTTTACTTTTCCCTGCTATTAATGTCAACGACTCTGTCACCAAGAGCAAGGTATTGTTTTTTAAGATCTGGTCTTTTGTTGTTTAGATCTGTTATGTGTTTTGTTATTGATTTATGTTTTAGATCTGATATTATTAGTGGGTTTTTGTTTTAGATCTGATATTAACTGGATTTGTTTCTAGTTTGATTCAATGTTGTCGATATTTCTACCTAGTTGCAACATAAATACTGTGAACTTGTTTGATAGATTTGCAATGTTGTGTAGTTATTGAGATATCTTAGAATCAAAGAGATATTATTGTCAATTATTGTGTGGGTTTTTTGTAAGATATTTTTTTTTGAGGTTTATGAAGAAAAGATTCTTTCAAGTTCTAAGCATTTGATTTGTTTAAGATGCAAAAATGTTTTGACTTTAAGATCAGAATCATGCTAGTTGTTTTAGAATATTCTATTAGACTTTGGAACTTTCGCTCGATTCTTATTTTATGAGACCTTGCATGTTTTTTGTTACTCTATTATTTAATCCAATTGGTGATTAGTACTCCACGATTTTTACCAAGGTTCATTGCATGATTCATGTGTCGTGCTAGATGTTTTGAATATGGTTTTCAACTCTCAATCATCAGTTGTTCATTGATGACTTCTGAAATCTTGTTTATGATTCTGCACTATTCTTTATCTCTGCTGTGGTCTAACAATTGCTCTTAATCTCTGTGTGTGCAGTTCGACAACTTGTATGGATGCCGCCACTCTCTCCCTGATGGTTTGATGAGAGCTACTGATGTCATGATTGCCGGCAAGGTTGCTGTTGTCTGTGGTTATGGTGATGTTGGCAAGGGCTGTGCTGCTGCCATGAAGCAAGCTGGAGCTCGTGTGATTGTGACCGAGATTGATCCCATTTGCGCGCTTCAGGCTCTCATGGAGGGTCTCCAGGTCCTGACCCTTGAAAATGTTGTCTCCGAGGCTGATATCTTTGTCACCACCACTGGTAACAAGGACATCATCATGGTTGACCACATGAGGAAGATGAAGAACAATGCCATTGTCTGCAACATCGGTCACTTCGATAATGAAATCGACATGCTTGGACTTGAGACCTTCCCTGGCGTGAAGCGCATCACCATCAAGCCCCAAACTGATAGGTGGGTCTTCCCTGACACCAAATCCGGCATCATTGTCCTGGCTGAGGGACGTCTCATGAACCTGGGATGTGCCACCGGTCACCCCAGCTTTGTGATGTCCTGCTCATTCACCAACCAGGTGATTGCCCAGCTTGAGCTGTGGAACGAGAGGAAAACCGGCAAGTACGAGAGGAAGGTCTATGTCTTACCCAAGCACCTTGATGAGAAGGTTGCCTCCCTTCACCTTGGCAAGCTAGGAGCTAGGCTTACCAAGCTCTCGAAGGACCAGGCTGACTACATCAACGTGCCGGTCGAGGGTCCATACAAGCCTGCTCAGTACAGGTATTGAGAGATGGAACTTGAGGAAAAACGTGATTGGAAACGGCGCAATTGTTTCTTTTGTATTTTCATGACGATTTGTCCTATATTACTAGGCTTCAATTTTTATCCTAGGATTTGTGTTGTGGTGGTGGGGAAGACATGGGAGGAAAAGAAATGAAACGGTCTATCTTGAAGACCACATGGGATTATGTAATAAGGTTTTGGATGGGGTTGTGTGGGATAGTATTTGTAGCTGTTGCCATTTCAGTTTTCTTGCTGCAGCTTATCTTATTTTTAATCATGAATAGATTAAAAAATAACCTTTTTGTTTCATTTATTGTCTTCGGTTTTTTGTTGCTCATCTTTCTTGGCTCACAGCGTTTTCGATGCCTGATTTTGTGTTTGCCTTTTTCAAAAACAGTATAAATTTTCTAACTATGATTTTGAGAAAGACTTGTAGCAGTATTAAAAACTTGTTAGATAAGTGCGTGTCTGGCTTTCAGTTTTAATTTTTTTTTAATTTTTTAATATTTTTAGATTGTTTTTTATATCAGATATAAATTTTAAAAAATAAAAAAAATATTATTTTGATATATTTTTAAAAAATAATTATTTGAAAAAAGTAATTGTAATTATATTTTTAAATATGTTTTAAGTATTCTTTTACTAAAAAAATATTTAAAATAATATATATATATATTTAAAAATATTATTTTTAATATTAACATATTAAAATAATCTAAAAATATACAAAAAAGTTTTTATGTTTTTGTTAGATTCTACTTTTTAAAGTGTTATTTTTTAAAAAAATAATATTAAAATAATTTTCTTTTAAAAATAATTATTTTTATATTAACATATTAAAATTATTTAGAAACACAATATCTAATTTGATTTTTTTTAAGTGTGGTCCAAATACAATTTCAAATACTCTTGAATAATAACAATATTACTTAAAAAATAAACATCATAGGTGTTTTATTGTTAATTTATAGTAAAATATATCTTGAACTACATTAAAATTATATTTATTTCATTTGATCCAAATAAATTAAGCCTTTTGGAAGCGTTGTTGATGGTTTTATTTAGTTATTTTTTATCATAATAAAAATATATATATATTTTTTTAAAATTAATAAAATATAGAATTGTTGATAAATATTTTTTTAACAATAAAAATACTCATTTACTCTGTTTGACTAGAGTGTTTTGGGGTTTTCAAATTTTAATATACATTACAAGTATATTTTTAACTTTAAAAGATAACGTAAATTTAATATTTGAAGATATTTTTGTATTTTTATATAGGTATCTTGTACAATTGTTATAGTGGGGGTGGAGTTTAATATTTTTACTTTTGTTTCTTAAAGCTTTTAATGTTTAAAGCTGTTGGAGGATACTTGATAAATCTTAACATGTGTGTAGCGTCCGTGTCATTCAGGCGGTGCATATGACACCACCCAATATATATAATCGACTTTTTATTATCTTTCTAGTTATGCCATCATATCATCTTTCATTTAAAATGTCACGTAATGTCACGTGACAATCAATGATAATTAAATTATCTCTGTGATTGTTTGATTTTTTTTTCTCTCTCTATAGAGCGGTAATCTACATCATTGTTCTCTATACTTTTTATTTTTTAATATCAATCTTCATTTTATTAATTTTAAATTTCATTTCCTTTTCATTTATAGAATATTTTAATCTTTTCAATTTATTCATTCTATTGCAATTTCTAATATGTTTTGTTTTTTATTTTATTTTGTTTATTTTCCATTTATAGAATGTTTTAATCTTTTCAATGTATTCATTCAATTTCAATTTCTAATATGTTCGGTTTTTTATTTCAAGCCTCATTTTTTAAAATTTTTAATTTGAGATTGGTATTTTTGTTTAAGTTTTTTTTTTAATTTCATCATTCAATAATTTTTTTTTTTATTATTTGGTGAGGTTTAAAATATAATTTTATATTATTCACTGATACATTTTTCAAATGAAAACTTTTTGAGTTTGAAACTTGCACAAACGTATATTACCTTATACTTAATTTTACATTATTTTGTGCTGAATTTTTATTAAATAAATAAAAATGATAAGATTTGAACTTGTGACTACTTGGTCATCATAACTGTGATACCATGTTAAAGAACCATCTCAATCCAATAACTTAAACTATTAGGTGAGATACTCAGATATGATTTTATATTATTTTTTAATAATGATTATTTTCAAGTTTTCTTTTATGAATTCATTATAATCTCATGTTTTAGATCATGATTTTTGCATATCTTTTATGAATCTAAGTTTTTTTTAGTTGTTGAGTTTCTATTTTATTTTTTAAGGTATTATTCTAATTCATCTATAAATTTTTTATAATTATGAAGTTTATTTTTTATAATATTTTTTTTGTTTTAAAATTATATTGCTAATATTTTTGGCTTTACATAATATTTTTTATAACATAAGTTTATTTAGTTAGTTACATCTATATTTATATTTTAAATTTGTAGAGTGTCAATTTATTTATTTTTTATTTAAATAAATAATTTTGATAAAGATAATCAGATGTATATCTCATTTTATATTATGAAATATTTTTATTTATATATATATATATTTGATTTATACTTTGAATTTTTTATGTAAAAAAAATATATCAAAATAATTTATATATTTGATATTTTTAAAACTATATGTGTTTTTTCTTTTAAAATTATAACCCGCAGAAAGCGCCGGTAAAATTGCTAGTCTGGAACTAAAATCAAACGGATCAACATCACAGCACTGAAATCAAATGGCTGTATTGCTGCTATTTATTATAAGATATTTTCTGACTTCTGTTATAATGAATGGCAAAATGAGCTGTGCAACGCAATGTGGGTCTCTCAAGAGGTAGTTATTCTGTACTTTTCCAGTAAAAACTTTGTCGAGAATGCTCTGATGGAGGAAGAATGGAGTAGGGGACAAGGATTAAAAACATATTTAATTCTGTACTTTTTTATAATTATATATAGTTATCTCACGTCAATAAATTAAAAACATATATAAACTATAAAAAAATATATTTAATTATTTTATATTAAAAAATTAAGAAATAATCCATTTGACGTAAACTCTATATATAGTTATTATATATCAAAAAATAAATAAATAATTCATGTAAATATAACCTATAAAACAATGTGTAAATCTAACTATTTATAAATTCATTTTATATATTTTTTTAAATTTATTAAAAAAATAAAATAACATGTGAAAAAAAATCAAGTCTACTAATTATAAACCTGGATTGATTTTTATGATTTGAAAACCAGTCAAGATCTTCGATCATCTGAAATCTAAATTAACCAGACAGTTCAGACTGAGTTTCATAATAATGGTTGAAACACCGAATGATGTTTTCAAGGCTGGCTTCAAAATTAAAGGTCAGTCGTGCATCCTTCCAAGTATTTTTTTTTTGTGTTTTTAGTATGATATCCAGAATATTTAAAGTATACCTCAACTAATCTTCCGGTTACTGAAATTAACCATCGGCCAGAATTCTTTTCAGGGTCCATTAGCTGCCTTCCTGCTTATTATGAAAATCTGATCTGTTTTCCTTGTATCTGAAGGGCAATGGAGACAAAACCTGTCGTGGAGACTCGAAACGGTTCAAGGCAATTCTTCAATTGTCTTTTAATAATGTCCATGGCCTGTTCCTTGGCACAGAAATCGGAAAGCAATGATGAAGGTCCTTCTGCTAGTGGATGGTTTCTTGGGCTGAACATTTTTTTTTTTCACTGTCGAGCAGGTTGTAAGACGCGGCTTCTACATGGTTGAGGATACAGGTAATTAGATCATCAAGTTAATTTTAAATAATATGGTTTCGATTAAAAAAAGTTAGCAGGTCACCCTATTAGAACACCGAACATGGCCAAATCAATGTAAAAATAGTTTATGTTTAAGATAGATTAGTGGCCTCGTCGTCAAGCTAGGATGTGTCGAGTTTAATAACTTCAAGAAAACTAATTCACAGACATGGTGTTGCCAAAGTGGATTTTCAAGAAAATTTGGAGAAGCAATAGCAGGCAAACGATGAAGAGGGAAAAAAAATTATCTTGAAAAGTAATTGGTCCTGCATTTCAAGATAAAACCTACCATTTTGGTTACAGTAAATTGTGCTGGATTTACCTCAAATTCTGCTACATTTTGAAATACACATCAGAATCTAGTCCCCAGGCCTAAAACTATGATCTTGAAAATGAATAGGGCTCGAACAAGAGTTCGGAGATATGTTTGATGTTTCCAAAGATGAACAGTCATATAACATTGGGAGAATGGGGAGGGCCTGGCTGTTTGAGGCAGCATGGTTATGTAGGCTGGTAGCCGGTCAGGGAAATAAGGCTGAATGAGCAAGAGATGGTGCAGCTAGAAAGGGATCAGCAGAAACAGTGAAACTGGAGAATTGCTGCCTTGAAAGGGGTTGCTCAACCATTGCTATGCAGCCACCAATTCAGGGATCTAAAGCCTAAAGATACAGCAATGACATGGGTCACAGTAAAGCAAATAGGTAGCTTATATTAGGGATTTGCAGAGAGAACCTTCAAGTTCAATGAAGGCAAAGGATCTGAAGTCTGAACAATCTAGGAAGGAAATACGAACGAATTTCTGATATCTAATGGTCTACTCTCAAAACAAGTCTTGACACATTCTGACAAATAAACCATGATTGATGAGTCCCAAGAAGTCAATGTTAAGGAGTAGCCATTAAATTTGATGAACATTCTTGCATGATTGATGATGTTAAGGTGAGAAAATCTTTTTGTTTTTGTTTTTCATCTGGGGTTAAGGTAGAATATTTATCTTTGCTGGAATCATGAATTTACTCTGGAGAGGGTCTGAAGATTGCAGCGGGTCATGCCGAGGGTCATGAGTTACAACTGCCTTTATCTGTCTGTGATGGATACAACAGACGCAGGATATAATATATGATGATGAAGATCCGATATTGAATTTTATTTGAGTTTATTTATTGAGTTTAATTTTGTTATTCTATATTATATTTAAGTGGGCTATTTTGGATTTTATTTAAATTTATTTGGTGGGCTTGATTTAGTTATTATTTGATATTTTATTTAGTGGATTATAAACTAAATTGTTCATTTTAGCTATAATTTTAGTGTTTATATGTTATTTTTCTAAATGTTTGATATTTTATTTTAATAAACTGATTAAAATTTGCAAAGTTATAAACTTTTACAACCTCGATCCCTTTTCTTCTTCGACTTTTATTGTGCAAAGACATTATTAGAATTGTCTTCGAAACTGTTGTCTATGATGTCTTTGGGTGTCTGTATTTTGGTTCACCGCTGTCTTTTCTGCATATAATGCATCGTCTTTAGGCATTTTCTAGGATTAGTTTGGTTTCTGAAGCTGCTTAGCTTTTTTTTCTAAGCAATGTTGTCATGTAGAAATAAGTCCGCAGACCTTAAAGATGATGACATATGGAAACAAACCTGATCTGGAACTGATAGGGGGCTTCTTCGAGTGTCATGTTCTGTACTCTAGAAGTTTGCCCCTTTTTAGTTTTTGTGTTTTCTTGCGTTGGATATTAATGTACTGATGGGTGTTCGAGGAGAACACTTGTGGCTTTAAGAATGCAATAGCTCCTTCACGCTATTTTGCACTAAGTTTTTCTCTCATTGTTTTTTCTTTTGTAGCTTGCTTTGTTTAGTTCTTTCTTCTTCTTTTGCTTTGTGCTAAGCGTGTAATGGACCCTTCATGTTATTTTGCTCTTTTACTTCTCTTTTTTGACATGCCTGTAGTGTTGGTTTGGTTATAATTAATGCCCTAGGCTATTGTTTCTGTCCAATCTTTTCTTTTTAGGCTCTCCTTTTTTTCTGGTTTAACCCCCCGTTTGATCATTTGCTTATGTTCTATCTTCAACTCCTCTGTTGCTCTAACTTTCGGACCCGTGGTTGCTGCTTTTTATGCTCCTCTTTCTGCTTTATTTGTTGTTCTTTCCACCCATTATTTTTTCTTTGTTTGTTCTTCCTTTTTATCCTTTTCTGCTTGATTTGATGTGTTTGCTTTTCAACATTTCTATTCTTATCGTGTTATTGTCTATGCTGTGCTTTCAGTGGGAGACAAAGTACAAAAAGTTACTGCAGGTTACGTTGCTTGGAGATGGGTTAGTTGCCTTCTCAACTCTTTACCCAGTTTTGTCAGTCCTTTGGGTTGCATTACAGCACTTCCAACATTTCCCATTCCTTTTCTTTTTAGGTTGACTGATCTTCTTCTTTCCTTTTTCTCTCCACGTTTTCCGGTACAATCACCAAGTGTCTCGGTTGGATCTGACCTGTGCTCGAGATTACTGCCAGAATAAAATGAACTTTCTTGATATGCAGGTAATCCTCATTTTGTTGTTGCGGCCCTTACGTTGTTTTACATTCCTCTGTTTGCTCTTTTTATTTCCCTTTTTACCGCGATGCTCATTGCTGGACTAGCCATCTTCGTGGACTTGCTGTGATGTTCATTTCGGGCATTTATTTTACATTTGTTGTGGCATTCATGACATGTTTTAGTTATCATCTATTTTTAATCATGTGCTTTCACCATGTCGATTAGATTTTCTTCCATACCTGTTGCTCATTTTTCATTTTCGCTCCTGTTGTTCTGTTTACTGTAGAGAATTTAATGACCCCATGATTATTGCACCTCCGATGGCAAGTAAGCTCAACAAGGCATATATTTTTCAGCTGTGGTTTGCGGCTTTCAGATCAACAACCAATCGCTGCGAGATTATTGTGCTAAATTACATTAACATTAACATCATACTGTTAACTTTTTTGGCAGATCACGTTGTTTTAAAGCTATTTGATTTTAACGACCTTGCAACCTTTAATATTTATATTTTAATACTGTCAATATTAGCATTTTTCTTTTTTACAAATGCAGAAAAATGAATTTTCCTCTCATAATTTCTTTGTTTTGATCATGTATTGTCCTTTCACCTATCTTTTCTTCCCCTTAACACCTTTACATTATGATTACATTTACGTTCTTATTAGATTAATTTACCAACAACATCATTTAGACAACTTATTATGCATCAATTTTTTCATTTCCATCAAATTTTAGGTGATGGCATTTTGCCATTGTCAAAATAGCAGATCTGCGTTCATTTAATGCAGTCTTCATGCTTCAGATGCTATGTTGCCAGCACAAACATACATTTCATAAATATATGTATGCCTTCAGATATTTGGCCTTTCGATTTTAGATGATGGTTTTCTATGCGTATCCTGGACCGTTTCTATGATGCGAGATAATCGATTCCATACCACCATGTGTATGATAATTACAGCCTGCGCCATGTGTTCAAGCTACTGCTCAATCGATGACAGCTCTATCATCACTTTTGCTAAAGAAGCTGAGAGTTCCTTTCTTTACTTGCATATGCTTTTGTTGAGACCTTGTGTATGACTTTATCATTTTCGCCCTTTTTTTTTGTGCAGGGACACACAATCATGTTGTCAATATTTCCTTTCTAATTGTCAAAGTGGCTGCAACATGCACCAATGATCTTCCATCTGTCTTTTGCCTTGCAATTTCAACTTCTAGATCTGTCATGCTCTTACAAGAATCATTTCATGTTGTTATCCTTAGAAAAATGCCCACCTAGTCTAATCTAAAATATAACTTTTTTTTTTAATCAAATGTAAAAAACAAACTTAAATCAATATGCAAAAGTCATGGCAAACATAACCCAATAAAGCTTACGGACAAAGTTAAGTCCAGGAAAAGCATTTCTGTGCAAAAGGGATACTGGTGATATCAAGGGATCACCATTTATCATGCCTGGACATTTTATCTGCCATTACTAAAGTTAAGGGGACACAAAATAAATAAGAAACTATCAGAGAGCTCTAAATCTAATTCTCACATTCCTGATAACAGTGAACTTGCTGCTATACAAAATCTTTGATGCAATTAGGATTTCAATGGCAGGGAGGCAGCACTTTCAATTGCAAAGGAATATGAGCCATGAAACACATGATGTGTTGAATCAACTATACAACAAAACACACACACACACACGCACAAGTATAGGTCAACGGTGAAGAAAGATGGCACATTACACGCGTATCTTTCCTCAAATGTTGAAATAACTACATTCTGCTCGCCACGCCTCCTTGAGTTCTATGAGCAAACGATGGTGGATAAAATTAAAAGAAACCAAAAAGGGAAGTAGAATTAATGAAATGTTTCCCATCGTCACTGTAGATTGAGACAGATGATTCTAACCTTATCGACAAAACATAAATGACCTTGGAAGTGCGGGTAAAGTAATCTTTTTGTTGTTTTGTGCGCATTAAAATGACTTACACAATCTTAGAGGCAAAAATTAGTGAGATGGCGGGTAGGGGACTCCTTTTTTATCAATTGCATGGTAAAATTATAGCAATGTCCTTGAATTAAATTTGTCTTTGCCCTGCGTCAAAGGGTTTTTATATCTTTTCCATTTGTTTTTTTTTTTTGTGATTATAAAATATGATGAAGACAAATTTAATAGTTCACCATATATAAAATAATAATTTATTCTATAAAGTAGGTTGCACGTGAATGTTCCCATGATATTTTTTTCAATGCATACGGCGTCATCTGACAATTAGAATACAGCTTTTACAACATCGTTTTATTCCTCGTGACATTGCCTCCAATAATTAGGGGTACATGCACCAAAATTATGTTGGGTTTTGTTCGGGTGAATTTTTTTTTTGGTTTCATGGCATTTCCTTTATATTTTCAAATCATCCTTTCAATTATTTTTTTTCTTCAGATTTTGTTACATGTATATGGCATGATACTGATAAATCCACTCTTGATATATGTATATGGTAAATATAAAGAAAACAAGAAATTCTTGTTTTTTATTGGTAAAAAAAATAAAAAATTACCACCTACTATTTTGATTATTATAAATTTTAACTAATCTCAAAAATTAAGTACGGAGACTGGTTGCGTGAAAAAAAATATTAACACTCTAAATATACCCTACCCAAGATAAATTGCATTGTTTGAATATCTGATAAGAAGTCAAGGTAGTAATGTATTTCTAATTGTTAGTTCGTCTATGTTTCAAGAAAAGTTCTATTTGATAAGAAGATCTTTATCTTATCAGGTAAAACTTAACCATTCTCACATCAATAAAAAAGAATTACCTTTTTAATATCGGGAATACGTTTTACTTATAAATTTGTATTTCCAAATACTAAAAGAAAACAAAATATTTTTTGGGTATTTTTGAAATATTGGCCTAATTTTTATGACTTTAATAAATTGGTTATTAGAGCTGATAATGCAACCTAAAACATGTATTTTTTGAATTTTTGTTATATGAAAATACAATATGAATTTTTTTTTTATTTTTATCTTTGAGAGACTTGGTTGTATGTATGAAAACAAGATTTTTTTGTTTTATAATTTTTGCAATGTTTTGATGAAAATTAGGTATTCTAAATTGGAATGGTATCTTTATGGTATAAAAATACAAACTGATATTAATCAAAATGGATAGAAAATATACGGGAAAATCATAAAATTTTTTGGAAAGAATTTTTTGGTTTTTTTTGAATTTTTTTGGATAGGGTTGGACATTGAACATTGGGGCAACTCCCCACTATTCATTTTGCAGAACAGTAGAGATTGAGAGCAGAAAAATAAGAAGAACAAAAAGAAAAAGAAGAAGGAAGTTGACCTAATGGTGCTGGTGGCTAACAATGATGTTGGTGGCTGTTCTCGATGGTGTTCTCGTGGTGGCAGACAATAGTTGCTCCTAGTTTCTGTTTTTTTCTTCTTCCTTGCTGCTTTCTGTTATCTCTGCTCCTTCCCTCTGTTTTTTTATTCTTCTCCTTCTGTTCTCTGGCAGTGCTGGTGGAGATGATGGTTGTCTTTCTTTTTCTCTTCTCTGTTTTCTCTTTTCTATTTTCCCTTGTTATTTCTTTCATGTTTTGCTTCTGTTTCTCTCTTTTTCCCGGTCATGCTTTCCCTTCTCTATCTTTTTATTTATTCTTTCTCCTTCCTCTGTATCTCAAACAATTCTTCCTTCCCACTTTTTCTCTATATTTTTGCCATTCTAGTTCTCAAACAATCTCTCCTCGTCCAAAATCTTCTATCCAAAACCCCCCTCCTCTTTGTCTCTCTCCTATACTATTTATAAGGGTGAAAAGAGGGATAAAAGGTTACTGCCCCTATCCAGTCATGGCACAGGGGTAGGGTGGCTTAGCGGCCACTAGGCAGCAGCCTAGAGTTGCCCGCAGGACTTGTCTCCTCTACATTTTTATCTTGGCAGTTCAAGGGATGTGGGTCTTGTCGGTTTTTTTAGGTCAGTGAGCTAGAAAATACAGGGGAAAAAACCTTTTCTTTCCTTGCCTTTGTGTGTTGGAAGAAGCAGCAGCATAGTGACATTCAAAACGGTACCGTGTTGTGTTCCTTTTTATTTCAGGATGAAAAAAATAAATTTAAAAATAACCCAAAAATGAGTTATAACAGATTTAGTCACTATTTTTTATTACCATTTTTCATTTAATTTTAAATAACCTATTGAATTGTATTGAAATTTTCTTTCAATTTAACCCTCATTTGATTTTTTTGCCTTTTAGATTTAGTCCTTATTCCTTTGATTATTAATTTTTTTTAATTATTTTTTTAATTAAATTAATTTTTTATTACATCCCTTAATATTTTATATCTTTCTCTTAATTGAATTATTTCTTCAATTGCATTCCTTAATATCTTAGTTCATTTTTATTTTATATTAGATTTAGTTCAGATTCTTTTGATTGCTATTTGTTTTGTTTTTATTTTTTTAATTTTTTTTTCAATTTCATTCCTCATCATTTTATTTATCGAGATTTTGTTAACTTTTCAGGTCATGAGTTTAAAAAATTGGACCGACTTTGCTTAGATTTTTTTTTTCATATCTTTTTTATGATTGATTTTTTTTTTTCCAGTTTGATTACTCTACGGGATCATCCCGACCTCATGTACAAGATCACAAGTTTTGTGTGTTAACCTAACGTGACTCGACCCAATTTTTATTTTTTGTTGTTGTTGATACCTATTTTTATTATATTATCGAATTAATCGAGGTTTAACCTGACTTTCAGATTTCACTAATTTAAAAGTGCT